ACTGAGCTTGGCGGCTCCTGAAGTCTTCCACGCTCTGCCTCCATGGGATGAGAAGGAGGAAACATTGGCCCACTATGCAGTCAGATGCCGACAGGCCATGGACGACAGCATCAAAGCCAAAATTAAAAGCATGAAGGCAAAGCGGGAGCTTCTACCAATCGTCAGCAAATAAAACATTTACCTTATCTGATTTACAGTGGACATGTGACCACTCTAAAAGAACACTTGTATTTCTCGTCACATTTCAGGCCTTTATCTCTTTTGTCCTCAGCCATTATCCATCACAAAGAGAGTGATGTATGGCAGCACATTTGTTGGAAACTTTCAATCATTTGTTGTGTTGTTCTTGGCCAATTTGGCTTTTAAATAAAATCAAATAATTGTTTTGTATGCCTTGAATCAGTATTATTTTGTTTGACCAGTATTTACTTCAGTGTTAAATATTAGGAAAATATGTAATACTGATATTAATAACTGTGCGATTGCATGCTCACTACCATCACAAACTACAGTGTATGTTTGTACGTTTTGACACGACACCTCTTCCTCTCTGAATACCAGATTAGTGTTATGTAATAAGATTGCTATGGTGCAGACTGTAAAAATAAGTGCGTAATGATGTTACACTACATTGTATGAACCAGTGGGTTCAATGACTGTTACTGTGAGTAATAAATAGAATATCACAATGTCAAACCATTTTGATGCTTATGTATTTTGTTGGAAAAATTATTTTCCCATTATGTTGACAATTAATAACTCAGTCTGCAATGCAAGCAATACAGAATCAGACTAGAAATCTTTACCTAGTCACTGTTTGCTGCGACAGTGGACCTTAGTCAGGATAGCCCCCTTATATTTAATATGGTGCAAATAAAAACGCAGCTGGAGAGAGAGAGAAGTACAGTCAGTTCATGCTAGTACAGTTCAATGGATTGTGCCTTGAAAATCTTGTTGTACCTTCAAAACATTGTCTTTCCAAAAACGTCCTGTGGACAAAAAGCTCTTGAAAACATGCTTATATTAGACAAGTGGTTCCCAACCTTGGTCCTGGAGTGCCCCCAACAGTACACATTTTAGATGCATCTCTATGTATCTGACACACCCATTTCAGGTCTTGGGAGTCTCTATCAACGAGTTGATTAGTAGATTCCGGTGAGTTTGTTTAGGGAAACATACAAAATGTGCAGAATTGGGAGTACTTGGGGACCAGGGTTGGGAACCACTGCCTTAAACCAGTATTGAACTGTATGTTTATCCCTTACGAGAGACAGAAATGCATTTGTATTCATGTCAAACTAAATATGCTATCTACCCTGGCTAAGATCCATTTTGTTTTCTAAGCAATACATTTTTTGACATGAAAACACTACCTTCTTCCCTTTCAGCAGACATGGATGAGAGAGCATATCGAGAACAGAATGAGAAGACCATTCGCAGCACCCAAACAGCTCTTCACAACTTTCGGGACTTCCTGGTTTCTAAATATCCAACCGAGACCAGAGAGATATACTACATCCCCTGCCAAGAGTTGGACATCTACTTGGCCTCCTTCTTTGTGGATGCACGTCAAAGAGATGGATCGGAGTATGAGCCCAACAGCCTGGCCAACTACCAGTGTGGCCTGGAGCGTTATCTGAAGGAGCATCACTACGCCTACAGCATTAGAAGAGACCAGGAGTTCCAAAGATCCCAGGATGCCCTCAAGCAAAAGCAGTTGGAGCTCAAGTTCAAAGGCAAAGGCAACAAGCCCCACAAGTCAATGAAGCTGACCTTTGCTGATGAGTTGCTCCTAAGGAAACGGGGGCTTCTGAGTCGCTTCAACCCTGAGGGTCTGCTTAACCTGGTGTGGCTCAACAACACCAAGGCTTTTGGCCACTGTACAGGCTTCCATAGCTCCACACTCAAATGGGGTGATGTGCGCTTGCTCACCACAGAAACAGGACTAGAGTGTCTGGAGTGGACCTACCAGGATTTTAATGACCCTAATGCCAGAAACCGAAGGTCCACGAACGAGTACCGCATTTACGCTACCCCGCATGCTCCTCAAACCTGCCCTGTGCAGGACTACAAGGAATATGCTCAGCGCAGACCTCAAGCAATGCTCTTTGAAGATGCCCCCTTTTATCTGTCCATCAAGCCAGTGGTCAACCTCGCTGCCCTGCACTGGTACAACTGCCAAGCTCTGGGAAAGAACAAATTAGCAAAGATGGTGAAGACCATGTGTGAGAAAGGCAACATTCCAGGGAGAAAGACCAATTTCAGCGTTTACCAGAGTTGCAGCTCCTTGTCCGAGGCCCAGAGCAATCAGCTAGTCCTGATCTGCAATGACCTCAGGCAACAAGCCGTCCAGTCAGGGAGTTCCCATCCTGGCAGCACCAACTTTGTCATTGCTGGTTCTTTTGACTCTACTGACTCTGCTTAAAGCTGGAAGTGTAATTTTTGAGCCACTAGTAGCACCAAACCAATCTGCTGTTTCCGAACAAGTTTCCCAAACACTTCTTCCGTCTTCCATTTTTTTGGACAAGCAGGTAATCCTGGCCCAAAAGGCATTTGTTGAGCAAGAAGTTGATGTTTTGGACAGCTTAAACCAATGAGTCAAGGTTCGGATGATTAGAATGGTTCAGTTAGCCACTGTAGACAGGTGCCTAGACCAGGCGTTACCAACCTTTTTGACATGAAGTGCCATTTTTATTTGTATATTTTTTTTCCATTTAAAATTAGCTGTCCTCTGATATAGTTATCTTTGCCAAGTGATTTTTTTGGAGGGCTCTTCAAAGCCTCAAATGTCTGCTGCCTTTTGTGTCACTCAGGATAGTCGCTTGTGAAGGGCTTGGGACTGTGCGTGTTCTTGTGGTGCCATCAGCCAATCAGTGTTGTCAGCATGTCACAATGTAATTTTGCAGTGGCTCCAGAGTTAATAGTCACATGGCATTCACAACTCAAATGATTGGATCAGAAAAAAATCTTTATCTAGAACTGTCCATGTTCAAAGATAGTGGATACTTCCAGAGGTCTTGCGCCAGCTGAGCAACTTCCATTTGCATAAATGGGAATGCTAATGGATATCTCTCTTTAGGTATGGCTTGAATAAACCAAGGAAAGGGCCCCAGAGCCACTGTGTTTACATTCCTCAGAAAATCAATCTATAAATTGCTGCATGGGATAGGAGAAAGTATTTTACCACTGAAAAAAATACATATGGCAGCTTTAAATTCAATTGTATGACTGACTTAGGCAATCTTGTTTCATGTCTCAATGCTCTGTTCTTTTAGGTAAGCAAAGTCTCAATTGTTGTTTCTGTCAATATGTATGAAACTACAATGTTGTCTTTTTGTCTTGATTATATTATAATTACACTTGTCTTATGTGCAATGCAAAATGTTCTTTATCCAGTGCAGTATTAAGTCAGCTTAAGGCATTTGGATGCTAATTTTGTGTTAAGGTATTTTTACTGTGTACGGCAACAATTATGAGTTTGACGATTAAGCTAATACCGTATGTCGATCCAGTTATTCTGTATTTGTTGTAGATATATGAATGTAGTAGAACTAATCCTGCTATCTTTCGTATATATTCTTGTTTTGAAAATGTTCTGTGTTAGTGTAGATGTTATCTTCAATAGCACTTATTGGATACGTTACATTGTTAGATGTAGCTGTGTGTTAAGATTTATTACAGATATGTGCCTGTTCAACATATGTGCCTGATATTATATCATTTATTCTAGAACATACACAATGAGGATTATTTAAGGTTACAAAAACAAACAAAATGGTTAAAAAATAAAGTTGAGAAACAAATATACTACCATAAATAAAGCAACCCTGCAATATGAATACGGTCAGATTTTTTTTCTTTCTGGTTTTTATCTCACATGGCTCAGTTTTAGAAATTATTTGTGGACCACATAATTCTACTAACACGACATTTTTAACAATTTCTCAGCTCCACTGATTATTCCATATCACAATTAGTTGCAAATATGAGCTGTATTACAACTCTATAGACCAATTTCTATGTTTGCCAACAGTGATGACTTTTTTTGTGGGCGGAGCCTATCAGGTGGCAGAAAGTGACAGCTGTAAAATAAAAGAATTTAAAAAAAAAAGGTCATTTTGAGTTTGTATTTCAAAATTCAGACTTTTTTCTCACAAATTCCGAGATTATATTTCACAATTCTGATAAGAAAAATCAACTCGTCATTCTCTTTTCCCCTCGGCTCAGAATCACGAGTTTATAATCCCACACTTCTGGCTTATTTTCCCTCAGAATTGACAAACTCGCAATTGTTGAGTTAAATTGAGTTATAAAATCCCAACTAGGAGATATAAACTTGCATTTGCGAGAAAAAAAGTCCGTATTGTGAGAAAAAATAGGTAACGGTTATAGGTTGAAATAGTAGTCTATTTCATGCTGTAACTGCAGGAATAATTCAATATGTCCCCTATGAACTGCATATGCGAATATTATATAGACATATTATTTAAATCAAATTTAGGCCTTAAAAGTATGGTAATCATAGCAGGTTTCATCCATAGTCCGTCCGTTTAAATGTCTGCGTTTAGCTTCAAATGGAGTCTTTGGTGATTTGCATTCTGATTCTGACATCTAAAGGTACAACAAACTTTTTTTTTTTTTTACTTATTCCATGGATTCGACCCGTTTCCCTCCACTTGTTCCCAGTGTTTTTCTGCCACCACAATGTGCGCACAGCTGCATGTGACGTATACTCCAAATTGGTCTATTTTTTGCTTTATTGTTAAATTTTGCCTTTGGAATTGAGAAAAAAGATTTTGTTTTTGTGGTCATTAGATTACTCCAAATTGGTCTATTTTTTGCTTTATTGTTAAATTTTTCCTTTGGAATTGAGAAAAAAGATTTTGTTTTTGTGGTCATTAGATGGTACTGAACCTGAATCTTCTTGCTCAACAAAATAATGAAAATAACAGTGGAATTATATTAATCACATACATAAAAAAAAAAAAAATGACAGCACAAATAGTTACGTTTTCTCCATTTTATGTAAAAATACTGACTAGCATACAGCAATCTAAAAAACAAAAACCTTTACATTAATGAAAAATCTAAGTCATCTAGCATGTCCATATTAGAGCTTCGAGTAGCACGTTTTTCCAAAACAGTAAGTCAGTCCTTATAGCTAAAGTTTATTTACTCCGGGTCGAGTCTGGGCAACACAGGCAGTATAAGGTTACCAAAGGAGGAATCCTGAGTGATGAAGAAGCCGGATGAGTGTGCATGTGCATGCTGAAACCAAACCAGAGAAAAATACGCATCTGAAGGACATTATCAAGAATAAACGAATGCTAAAAACTCCCAACATGAAGCTTATGGTACCTGTAACGCTGCTTTCTGCTGTGCTGCAATGTGCTGCTGTTCGGCCTGATCCCTGAACTCCTTTACTGCTGGTCGAGAGAGGGGAATGCTGGGAAAGAAAGGACAAGCACTGCATAAGTCATGAGTATGCGAAAAGTAGATTACTGCTAGGACAGATACTAACTTAACAGCAAGAGAGAAACCCTGTAAAACACAGATATGTTTATAGTGCTAGGCGTGGTTAAAGCAGTACCTGGCTCCTGGGTTATTCATAGACTGGCTCTGTATGAGGCGTCTCTTCTCCTTGTCCAGCTCAGCTAGAATAGCAACCCTGTTTTTGTTTTGAAAACCTACTGAGGGCAGATGTACAGATTAAACGATTAAAATGGAGCAACCAGTGGAATGGAAAATTCGCAAATCTAACAGAAACCGCGCGAGAGAGCGACACAACGACTGATTACAGCTTCATTCGTCGATGTGTTACTTCGAGCGTACCTTGTCATTTTTAGGGATTTACTTTGAAAATGATTTGAACGGTAAAAGTCACGTTCCCCGAGCTTTATATATTGATATCAGAAATGACAGTCCAGCTGTTTCTGGCGTCTGATATGCTACAGTATTTACCTTGTCCGGGCGGATTCGCGGCCATTTTACATACTCTAAATGTAAATGTGAAACAGTAGAAACTACTTTAAAAATCTACGCCAAATGAATAAATTGAACGTAAAACGGACGCACGGTGTCCTCTGCTCTGATAGAAGAAGCAGCGCTCTCTCTCGCTCGTGTTCTTCGGTAAGAGCTCGTCGCGCTGCAGCGCCGCTTGGAGGACTGGAGGACTGGAGCGACTGAACGCTTGGACTGCGGCTGAGTGTGTTTGCTTCTTCTTCTTCTTCTTCTTTTAATTTTATTGGCGGTTGGCAAACCAACTTAAAGGTGAAGAGTGTGTTTGCTTGCGCTACATTTGAAAAATAAATACAAATGCCATGAATGAACACGAATAGGCAAAAGCAATAAATCATCAATAAATGTTTAGGCTTCAGGATTTTTTTTTTATTCCAAACTTTGTGTAAAGATATGGAGGACGAAACCTGCAAAAACAATAAATAAATAAATATGCAAATAAATAAATAAATGTCTGTACAAATACACAAATTCTTGTTTAAATACATATGGAAATAATTTAACATGTGATGAAAGTAGGCAAATAAATAAAATAAATTGGTGGGCAAATGGAAAATGTTTAAGGAGATGCTAAACTCATCCTATTTATTTTCCTTTGATCACTCATTTATTTCTGAATGTAGTTCCGCATTTATTTTCCCTCGGCGCAGCATGCTAATGAGAGGGTGTGAACCATGGGCTTGCTCGGGTCATGTGATAGCTGGGGGCGCGGCTTTCCCGCTGACTGGAGATGCATGGTGTAAATCCAGTATGGCCTACGTAAAGTCACTTTTGACGTTTAACAGAGCAAGATACATAAAAAACTGAGCTGTATTGTCCGTACAGTATCTGTGACTTTACAAACGACCCAATTTCCTGACGTCATTTTTTGTAACCCGATTGAGTCTCCAGCTAGAGACAGCTGTAATATCAGTATCCCGTGGTCATCGTGAGAACTGGTCTGAAGTGGTTTAATCGAGGAACAGACCGGTTTTTCCCATTAGTTATCAGAACAGAAAATACAGGAGACAAAAATATGTTTATTAAGCAAATAACGGTTCAGTATTGCAATTAAGAGCTATGTAAGCATTCATATTTTACATTTTATGATTTAGCTCTCTCATGATTATAACTACAAAACTAGCCCTATGAAAAAGTGTGAGATAATAATCAGTCCCCTTGACTGATGAAGTTAATACGCATGCGCAGGCAAACGCTCAAGCTCGTCACACACGATCCGCCTACTCTTGCATAATCGACACCCTCTCATTAGCATGTTGAGCAGAGGGAAAAAAATGTGGAACTACATTCAGAAATAAATGAGTGGCCAAAGGAGAATAGTTAGGATGAGTTTAGCATCTCCTTAAACATTTTCCATTTGCCCACCAATTTATTTTATTTATTTGCCTACTTTCATCACATGTATAATTATTTATTTATGTATTTAAACAAGAATACGTGTATTTATGCACACATTTATTTATTTATTTGTGTATTTATTTATTTGTTGTTTTGGCAGGTTTCGCCCTCCATATAAAGACGATTCTCAGCTATTTTATGAAAGACAGTGTTGGGCTTGATACTCCAAAAATGTACTCCTTTCAAAAGTAATATTATTACTTATTACTATCTGGCAACAGTAATTAGTTAGACTGCTAGTTACATTACTTTTCCTTCACGCCCCACAGAAGTTGTAATTGTGTATCTTCTCCATAAAATTATTCATAATTTGACCAAAATCTACATTGGATACATTGGACGCTCAATGTAACGTCCACATCTGTGTTCAGATCAGCTTTTCTCCTGACAAAACCAGTGCAGTGGCGATATTTCCATCCCCTGAATGTAAGCTTTTCCATATTCCAAGCTTTCCTGATGCACTGCTGGCTTCATGCGCCTGTGCGAGTCGTGAAAATGATGAAAATAAATCTAGGAATTATTAGATTGAGAGATTTCAACTCAAATGTAACCAAGTAACCAGCTGTTTTATGGAGGGTAACTGTAATATTAATAGTAATTAGTTACACTAGTAGTTACTGCAAAAAGTAATAGTATTACAGTAACTAGTTACTGCCCAACACTGATGAAAAATATAACAGAATGATTTGATATACCATTTTGCTTTATGCAGTATGTGTGTAAAATGGCCATAAGAGGCATTTCCCATTATATACAATGTACCTATATACTGTATATAATTTGCATATTAAGGTGTTTTTGAGAACAGGAGGTTCTCATGAGGTTAATGACACTGAAAATACATTTTCAATGTAGTTCAGAGGGATTTTAATTCTGATACATGGTGTTTTAATCATGGATAGACACGGTAACAGAAAAGAAAGGACAAACAGAAAATTAAAAAAAAGAACAAACTCAAACACTACAGTCTGCCTCATCATATGAAAACATGGACACATTTAAACATTAGTGAAGGGTTTCATTCGTGAAAAAACATGGCAATTTTCAGAAAGGTACAAAGGAGCACTAATGTCCATTTACATTTATACAAGATAACATTAACTGGCTATACCTCTACGTACAAAGATATATGAACTCATTGTTCATTATCTTCTTTTTCGGCAAAAGTACAACCTGAAAATCATTTGCATCTGTCAGAAGTCGAATGGAGGAAAGGGTCTGGAGTATGAACAGCGTTTATCACCATAAAACATGAACTAAAACTGGGAAGATATGAACGTTTTGGATGGCACAGGTGAGGAACCCTGCATTATCATGTCTTCTCTACAGCAACGGAGAAATATTGCAGGCATATGCATAATTTGGAAGATGTGGTTTTGACAATATTCAAAATCAAAGACAGCTCCAAAACAGCTGATGAAAGACAAGAATGCAATAATGCGAATCAGGAGTCGTCTAGCAGATTGCTTGCAGTCATGCAGCTAGATAATCTTTACTATTAGTTATGAGGATATTCACATAAAAAGGCCCTGAGTAGAGAGATGGTTATTAAGGCATAACAAGGTGAATAAGCAGTTTATTTCATGAAGGTCTTGAGGAAACATCGCCCTTTTCCACACTTTTATTAAACGGGTTGCACAGGCACACACTTAACCAGCTGTTTGATAGTGAAATATAAATATATGTGCTGTGAAATGTAGGGCAGATCAGAAACCTTCAGCTCTAAAATGTTAAAAATATCACATGGCTTCATGACGGTGTGATGGTCTGTTTAATGATGAATAAAAGCTGCATTCGACAAGCATATTTGAGAGTCTGGGAAAGATAAGATTATTAAGTTCCTTCATTGTTTTAGTAACTGTCTGATATATTAAATAAAACTGAATAAAATCAGACTAAAGCTACTGGCAGATTACATGCAGCAGGATTTTAATTTTTCATGTAGGCTATTGTTAATGCTTAATCTGTGGTTAAGAAAGCAGACTTCCACTGAGTGCAGCGAGGAATCGTTTGAGCTGTTTTGTGAGAAGGCACTATGTAAAATGAAGTCCTAAAAAGCAGCCTGTCCTCTCTTAAATAATGCCTAAAAGTCCGTATTAAGCACCTGTGCCAACCAAATCAAACCTAAAGACCACCTGGAGTTTATGAATTTGTTTTTGCACTTTTGACTAATTTGATCTACCATAGAAACATTTTAGATCACATTTGATACATTTTACTTGCCTTCAAGAAGGAATAGACCACATTATGCCAGTGAATCACAAACAGAATCACGTCATATTTCACCCCAAAATGTCAACAACAAAAAAAAATTTAATGCAATATACATATCATTTTTTTGGACCACAAAAATGACATTTATCTATTATTTAATTAAAGAAAAAAAGATATATATATTTTTTATTCTCATTGCTTTAAAAAAAAAATTCTAATAAAAAAAAAAAAAAAAGTAATCCAAACTGTTATACAATTTAATTTTTCTTGCATTATGCATAATGATTATATTTATAAATTCTATATAAATCTAATTTTTGATTCTCATTACTGTGAATTTTTGCTACTAAAAAGAAACTAAACTAATCATTCTTAAAAATGGAAAATTATTAGAATTACAGTAATGAGAATGAGATTTTCCTTGCATTACACATAATGTAAGATTATCTTTGTAGTTTATGATAAACATTTTATATAAACCAAAAAAAAATCTCAGTGTAAACTGCTACAAAATAATCAAGCTGTAATACAATTATTGTAAGCAAAGTAATATTACAGTAATGAGAATGAGTTTTCCCCTTTTATCATTCACATATTATCTTTATATATTGTTTATAAAAAGTTGATATAAACCAAAACTCATTTTGATTCTCATTACTGTAAAATAATTTTACACTACTAAAAAGCAAACTGTAATACACTTGATTTGAAATAACATTTACAGTAATGACAATGACATTTTTCCTGCATTATGCATGATGATTGTGGTTTCATAATGATAATGGAAATAATGGAATCATTATGAAAAAACCTTATGGCGGTCGTTCACCCAAAAATGTACATTTTGTCATTTATCCACCCTCATGTTGTACAAAAAGAGACAGAGAAAACAAACAAACACTGACACATTTCTTAAAATATCTTCTTTCATGTTCCACAGAAGAAGAAAGTCATACAGGTTTGAAACAACACGAGGGTGAGTAAATGACAGAAATTTCATTTTGGGGTGAAATAACCTTTTAATGGGTCCTAAAATAAGCTTATTTTTCTTTAAGCGATAAACATTTAATTTTGGGATGCAATATGAACTGGACATGTTCTTGACAGGTCTCATGAGATTCACTCGAAGCGTTTTAGTGACTACACACGTGTAGACTCATCAGACTCAAGAGTATGGAAAGGTTTGGTTTAATTCGGCCCTGACAGAGCTGATCAACCAATAACTGCAAAACAAACGAACCTAGTGAAAAGAATCAGTGAGCAGGTTCTCAACTGATCTGTGGACTGAGATGAAGGAGCACATCAATCAAGCCTCAAGACTCACTACTGGTTTGCAAACTTATTTAGTTGCTTTTTTCCATTAGTAAAGATTCAACTCTAATCTTTTTGGAGGACAGGAAATCTGTACCACCATGCTCTGCTTCAATCTCGCGCGGCCCTCATCCCGTCCAGCGGCCCGGCTGAATGTCTGCATGCTTGAACATGAACTGAACGATGAAGACTGAACCCGATTCTGCTCAAGGAACCGAATCTGCTGCGAGCACTTAAATATAATGAAGCTACAGCACAAGCTACTTACTGTATACAAGTCATGATCAGATGACTAATTACATGTGCAGGGAAGCTCCTTCCACATCCCAACTGTCCTGAGGTTATTAGTAAGAAAAAAAAGGGCTTTCTGACAACAGTGAATGATAATATGAAAATCCAGTTTTAAAAGACAACCAAATATCATGATTAAGCAGATTTAAAAGTGGAAAGCGTTGCCAAACAAAACAAAAACTAGCTTAAAATTGTATCGATTGCTCTAAAATAAAGCAAACCCTTCCGATAAAGCAAACGGTGTAAGTCCATCATCGCAGGGGCTACAATGAAGTACTGTAGTCCTCCTACTGAATACAGTGCGTCCTCCACAACACATCTCACAGGCCAATGGGAAGTTCTGATTTGTCTTTTTATTAGAAGGCCCATGAATCCGTATGTGGGGCCGGTAAAAGTGCCCTCAGTGGAGCCAGATTCCAGGATCAGCAACACCCTGGGCCCCAAATGGGCAGGAGGGCTCCGAGTCACGGCTCTAGCAGTTGATGGGACAGTCTGTCTTGGCTTTGCCAGCAAAACTGATGATTCTCCTGAGGCAGCGACCAAACTCCTCCAGAATGAGGCGTTCTGCCACAGCCTGAGGCTGGTTGGTGAGTTCGGCCTGCTCGGCCTGCTCCAGCAAACAGTCACACGTCACCTCGGCCACTTCCTTCGTTACGAATGTGTATGGCAACCTGGAAAGAGATTAACACTTGAATTAATACAAGAAGATCATTTTCGAAGACTAAAAGGACAGAAAGTGTGTAGGTTTTCCATGTGGTTTCTGGACAGTTGCTAGAAGAACACCAAGACATTTTTACACAGGAAATTACCTAGTAACCACTTTAAATATATTGCTATGTTATTTTAAGTCGTTTTTACTCATTAATTGCTGTGTGGTTTACCAAGAAGCTGCTAGGTGGTTGCTTGACAAGTTGTCAAGGTGCTTTGGGTTGTCGCTAGGAAGCTGATTAGGTGTTTTGGTGGCTCATGGGTAATTGGTGGATATATTGTGATGGACAGACATCATAATGCAGAGCTGATAAAGTGAAGGTGGGACGTACTTTCCGCCTCCGCTGGTGATGGCCGGTGTGGTTCTAGTGAGCAGATCTGAGATCTGTGAGGAGAGTTTGGTTTTGGCTGCGGTTTGCTGCTGGACTCGCACCTCTGCAGCGTCTGCCAGGTGCATCAGCGTCTTCCTTTCTGGACTCTCCTCAAAGTTCTTGCAGCCCATGCATTTGCAGATGGACGAACACATGATCTTTGCCTGAAGTGACGAGACAACAGAATGATATCTGGTCCTAAACACAAGAGAAACCTGACCATATCTTCTATACGACACTTCCACATTCTTTGCAGAGTGCAAACACTCACCTCATAACACTCGCAGTAGTTTTTCAGACAGCCAGACTTCTTACAGTTGCAGCCTTTGCTGTGTCTCCTGTCTGACTCCCCTTGTTTGCCTTTGCCAATCTTGGGCTTGAAAGCCACAGGGTTTCTGTCTAAACATGCCTGGGAGAAAGTACATTACTTCATTTGATGCCTATAGATCAGGGGTGTCCAACCCTGTTCCTGGAGATCTACCTTCCTGCAGAGTTCAGTTCCAACCCTGATGAAACACAGCTGTCTGTAATTATCAAGTGCTCCTTCAGATCCTAATTAGTTGGTTCAGTTGTGTTTGATCAGGGTTGGAGCTGAACTCTGCAGGAAGGTAGATCTCCAGGAACAGGGTTGGGCACCCCGCTATAGATATTCAAAGCATTACAGCAGAACTGTCCTGTACAGCAAAACAAACGAGATGTCAAGGGCGTTGCTTTGCTATTGCTAGGTAGATGTTAACGGGGAAATAGAAAAAAAAGGCACATTTGAAGTACTACGTTTGTAGTGAGATGAAAAAAAAAAAAAAAAGAATCTACAGTAGGCAGTAATTCATTACCTTGATGGCCTTCAGTCTTTCACTCTCATGATCAAGGTTGTTGAAGCAATTAACACAGTTGCAGTTATTACAGAATTCCCCGTTGGCAAAGCAATCACAATACCTGTGAGACGAGAGATGAAACTCTTAATGTAAATGCAAGATGCAATTCATGAAAGAACTTGATACACGAGGCAACTTTTTGAGGAAAGAAATTTCTATCCGGATACTTTAGATCGGTCGTGGGCCCTGTGTCTCACCTGGTTGCCCGCTGACGGCAACATTGCTCAAAAAGTTGCCCCATGCATCACCTTAAGAGTGACATAAATGTTCAAAAGTGGTAAGATTTTTAATGTTGAAGTTTCTTATGCTCACCATGACTGCATTTATTTGACCAAAAATACAGAAAAATATTGTACATTATTATTAATACCATTTAAAATAACTGTTCTCTATTTTAATGTTTTAAAATGTATTCCTGTGATCAAGGCTGAATTTTCAGCATCATTACTCCAGTCTTCAGGGTCACAGGATCCTTCAGAAATAATTCTACTATGCCGATTTGCTGCTCAAGAAATCATCATATTAATTCTTATTATCAGTTTTGAACAATTTGCTGTTTACTATTTTCTTAATTTGGAAAATACGGTTTCAAGATTTGCTGATGAATATACATTTCAAAAGAACAGCAGTTATTTGAAAGTAATCTTTTGTAACATTCTAAAAATTATAAAAACGTTGGAATTTTGAAATGATAAAATTTAAATCAATTTAATGCATCCTTGCTGAAGTATTATTTATAAAAAAATAAATAAAATAAAAAAAACTTACTGACCCCCAAACATTTGACTGGTGGTACATGTAATGCTTCAGGCAAATAAAAAACCCCCCAAAAAACACAGCCACTGCCAACTTATTGGCTGCATTTACACTGCAAGTCTCAATGCACAGATACGATCTTTTGATCATATCCGATATTTTTGACCCGTCTGTTTTCATTCACTTTTAGACACGACTGGTATCCGATATCTGTGTTTACATAATTCCCGCCCAAAATTAGAGTCAATGATCGCTTTACTATGCACATATTAGACCCTCTGGTTTTGAATGGCTGTGCTATTAAAATTATTTATATAATTCACATCAAGTGGCAATTATTATTTGCCAGCATCAGCATGGACAACGGCTGTCATGGATGTTTTGCAGCACATAATCTGACTGAACGGATAAATAACGGTAACTTTAATTTGTTAGGCTATTTTATCTACAGCTCGTTAGAGGTGGAATTCTTTAGTGAAATAAAGTAGCGCCAAGATGATATTTATTTAAATGAATTCAAATGAATTAGCGAGAGAGAGAGAGAGAGAGAGAGAGAGAGAGAGAGAGAGAGAGAGAGAGAGAGCGCGAGCGAAAAAGAGAGACA